CACTCAAATTTTATCTGACGTGACTGTCGAGTTTGTCAGTTTGTCAGGGAGGCAAAATATCATATTATATATATATATTTTTAGGAGGAAAATCTTTCGACATCAAATAAAATCCCTTCTTAAAAGTTTTTTTTTTTAGAATTTCATGAGTTAGGGGTAACTCTGACGTCGGAAAAATCCGTCACGAACATGGAAATGAAAAAAAAAAGTAAATAAATGAAAAAATCACTCACCGATTTGCGGTACGTCATACGTCCTGTGATTTCTTGGCGTTCGAAGCATGTGTTGCGACGCTAAATTTTTAGATAAAACATCCGATGCTTTTTGCAACTTTCCATCAGACTCCTCTTCGTTTTGATGATTTCTTTTCCTCCAAGGGGGTCGATTCCCTGCTTTGTCATACCACTGATGACGTTTACTCCCGAAAGGAGACAAACTCTCTCGACTGTTGTAGCCTTCTTTACCGTATAAAAGCCACCTTTCGGCTTCGTTTTCATCGAAAAAATGCTGTCGTTTAGAAATTCGAGATTGTCGGTACTGGTGTTCTTCAAGGTGGTGGTGACCCTGAAGTGGTTGATTCGGCCTCATTGAAGATGATAAGAGTAATGATCCGTTACTCACGTAAAATGCCAATGTGAGAATTAGTAGTATGTTAGTATTCGAAGCCATTTTTAATAAAAGATTAACGTCAAAACCGGAAACGGGAGTCTCGCGTGAAAAAGGAGAGAAAATAAGAGCGTTGGAACTCTTTGGTTTTCTTTTTCCTTTTTCTCTCTCTCTCTCTCTACTTGTTTTATTTATTTCCGATTTTAAAGGTCGTCAGGTTTAAAAATACAATGAAGGATGAGGCTCTGAAGCAGCCTTTCGGCATCAGATAAACTTCTTTGCGGTGTAGTATGAGTGATGGTGTAAGACCGTTTTTTTTTTTTTTTTTTAATCTACTATCCTAATACACTACTAATTTTCCTTGCCAATTTTCACTCTGCCACTTCACTGCTTTTCTAAAGGGGGTGGACGGAAGGAGTGGTGAGCTCCGTTCAAAAAAAAAACTTAGTATTTCCTTCTCCGATGAACGTATGAATAACGAGGCTAATTTTGATATTATTTATTCACTTAAAAGAAAATTATCATTCCGTTTAGTTCATATCGCGACCCGAATGTCTAACCGACACGGTTGCAAGGTAGTGACCGTAGTTATTTTATGTCGACCCCCCGGAAAAAAAAAAAAAACCAAAAAAAAAAAATTGGAAAAAAAATAATTTTCAGTCAATTAGTTGTTCGGTTGGAACCGTGGCAAAGATGTTGTGTGGACTACACTATACTACGACTATATTCCGGCCGCCCTCAGCGGCTAAATTGTGGCAAGAACCGTTCGTCTCGCCGTCCATTTTCGTAGCTGTTCTGGAGCGTCTCTGTTGTTTCGTCCTGCGTCCCAGAGCAGCCTCCTCCGCGCGAATCGCCCACGCTCTGAGCGGCTCCACTTCGTCAGCGCCCGAACGGACCGATTTTCAACTAAAAATTTCCCGCTTTTCCACTCCTTTTATCTTCTCCCCTTTTCCATGCACGGCGCTTCCTTTTTCCTACGACTTTTCCACCTTCGCCTTTATAAAAATTCAACATCCTAACCATTTTCTATCTCTCTCTCTCTCTCTCTCTTAACTCTACTACATAATTTTTAACAGTTGACAATGTAATTTGTCATTACAATAATTTCGAAAGGTTGATGTAATAAATGAATGATTTCGATTCTTTTCGATGTGTTTGAAAAATACGTACTTCTTCACTTCGAGGCTACAAAACGAACATCTGAATGACTCCATTTTCCATTTTCCATTTGTTTTTATGTAATAAACGTTTTTTATAAGATTACTTAATCTTTAACCGTAACGTATCACTCAACAAAAATAATTCTTTTTAATATTCAAAAACGTTCACGAGTTTATCTCGGTTGTTTCCAGAGTTTTGTTAGGGTTCATACGTTAGATAAAATGTTTTCGAGAAATGATTCCGTATTAAAAAATTAAATAATAAATTTCACTAATTATAATTATTTTTTTCCTTCTCTCTTCCATCGGTTTTGTTTTTTCAAACGTAAAAAAAAAAAAAAAAAAAAAGGTTTAAACTTTTTACGGTGTGTAATTACGTCACAGAAAAGTGACAAAGTTTTATAATAACGTTAAACCATACACGGAAAATAAATAGATAAATGAGAAAGAGAGAGAGAAAGGTTATGGTTGATAACGATCCTTTTCTCTCATTTTAATTTTACGACCCCCTACGACGAGGCAAAGTTTAAACGAAGACATGTTGGGTCATTATCTTTAGTATTTGATGGCACATAAAACCATTTGCCATTTTGGAAAATTTAAGTTTCTTCTTTTGAAAATTGTGAAACGTACACACAACCAACC